CCTCAAGAGTCTTTTCGACCTGATTGAAAACGTCAACAGTCGTGTCAGGGAAACAAAAACTCGTGGTTGCTTCCGCGCAAAAGACTCGTAGGAGCTAAGATCCGTTGAGCACAATGTAGCATGAAAGGTCAAAAAAAATTGACAAGGCCCATAGGACGGCGCGGTTGTTGGAATGAAGTGGGTGTAGGGAACTTGCGAAACTCCAACGTCTATGGGATGACAACCAAAGCTATCTACACGATGTCCTTGGAAGAAAATCGAGGTTACACCCTAAAACGCATTAACAAACGTAAATGAAAACACCAAATTGCTTCAATCGCGGGTTCGTGTTCACTGGAACTTGCTAACAGAGCATCATCAACATAAATGTATACGAAGGATAAGGGACTTCTTAGATAGAAAATTGAAAACCTTTGAGCGGAGTTGTGGAGTCCAAAGGGCATCCTGAAATAACCGAACAAACCAAAACGGTGTTGTAATCACGTTTTTGGAATGTCTTCTGGAGCAATGAGAATCTGGTGGCTTTGACTAGGTAAATGAATAAAGTGAAATGACGTCAGATACTGAGGCTGAAAGGCTGTAGTGGTGGATGGGAGGGATTAAAGACAGCCGTGGTATTGGTTGAAACGATAACGCAGGGTGAACAGCTCGATCGACGTGCTTACAATCATAGGCAAATGAAATAAAGAAAAAGGATCCAAATTGAAATGGGTGGCAGACGAGTGAAATTGAAGGTGCAATGAAAACGTCAGGTCACCAGTGTAGGATGCGGAGCGCTCTACCATTAACTGTAATATAGGAGAATATAAATAATTTTATGCTAGTAAAATAAAAATAAATGCCTTGCTAACTAAGAAACAGCGTTATTTTCGTGTGTTATTGAAAGTCGTAGTAAGTTTATGACAAAGCATATCTTAGCTCACTAAAATAAAAAGCTGTTTTTATCACCATACTGTTATATACTAATTCATGTGCTAATCACTACCCCTGTGTTTAGCAGGCTGCAGTGAACACGATGCACAGTACCGACGATCACGCTGTCGGTACCATCTATCTGTCAAAGGATTTAACAAAATGGTTGGATAAATGTTCACAATGTACCTGAATAGTGCGTTTAATCTTTACCTGGTTTTGCTCAGTTGACTTTACGGCTTTATTCCAACCTTGTATTTAGGACTGGCCTACGTGATCGGTGGGCAGGTACACTCAAAGCTGTCCAACTCAGTAGTAGAATTTAATCCCAAGACTGGGCGGTGGCGACGAGTAGCGTCAAGTCTTCTGGCCCGTCGCGCACACGCTGCGGCCGGTTTTGGCAGCGCCATCGTCTCCTGTGGAGGATGGGACGGCAAAAGTGTAATTGGATTTGCTGAACTCTTCCTCCCAGCAAAAAACAGGTATGCACGATGTAGTGGCTTCTGCAAACAGTAATGATACTAGTGGCTTTATTTTCTGCTTTTAGAATTTCTCGTCGGGAATGTATTGTTTTTGGACAAATGACAATTATTGGGCCTCGGTCAGATAACTCGCACTCTCGTGTCTATGGGGAAAAATAGTATTGCATTTCACATTTGGATAAAAAAAAGACTAAGCGTTAACAAAATTCCGGTAGCGTACTAAATACACTCCTACTTCTGTGAACTTGCAGCATTTCCTAAGCATATATATTTGTGTTGAAAGAAAGGTATCCCAAGAAATATAATTTGAAGTTGTAAGCGTTATTTGGGAAGTAGGACTTATTGCGTGAATTTTCCAGCATGGAGCCCCAGCACTGGTTAGCATCGCGCGCGTTTCTCCTTGAAAATTTTGCAGGCACCATCGAGCTTGATGTGCCTGAGGATGCATGACTCGTCCGAGTGCATTGCCTCGATGGTGCGTACAAAAGTGTCAAGGAGAAATGGGCGCGACGCGGGCCAATGCGAACGGGATGAGACACTTGGCAACAGCCAAAAAACGCAGGCGCTACGCCAGGCCATTATCGGTTTTCCCGTACACTGTCGATGTTAGCTGTTTTCTGGCACTATTTTTACTCTTCGGCCGAGGACGAGCTGAGGCTCCATTCTGGAAAATTGGCGCAATAAACCCTACATCTTAAAGAACGCCTCCGATTTCAAATATATACATAGCAAATGGATCCGACAAGGCAAAGAGAAACCGGGATGGCTTTTTCTGGCTTGTTAGTCGT